TATGTTGCCCTCGTATCCTGTTTTATTAGTTCTATGGGTGTTTTGGTGAATTTCCTTATGTAAACATGTCATTTGTGAATAGGGGCAGTTTTGTTTCTTCCTTTCCAATTTGTATGCCTTTTATTTCTTTTTCTTGTCTAATTAAACTAGGTCTTCCAATACAGTGTTTGACTAGGAATGATGACAGGACATTTCTGCCTTGTTCTGAGTTTAGGGGATAACTCTTCAATTTTTCACCATTGAAGTATGATGTTAGCTGTAGGATTTTTTTTAGATGCCCTTTATCAGGTTGAAATATTTCCCTTCTATTTCTAGAATGGATGTTGAATTTTGTAAATTAAAAAAAATGTTTTTACATCAAGGAATATAATCATGAGCTTTTTCTCTTTTTGGCTATCAGTATATAGATAGTGGGTTATATAGATTGATTTTTAGTTATTGAACCAGCATTGCATTCCTGAAATAAGCTCCATTTGGTCTTTTTTATACATTGCTGGATTCAATTTGTTAATATTTTGTTGAGAACTTTTAACAGCTAAGTTCTTGGGGGATATTGGTCTGTAGTTTTCGTTTATTGTATTGTCTCTTCTGAACATTTCATATAAATAGAATCATACAGTAGGTAGCCTGTCGAGTCTGGCTTCCTTCACTTAACAATGTTCTCAAAGTTCTTCCATGTTATAGCATGTGACCAGTACTTCATACCTTTTTTTTGGTCAAATATTCCATTGCGTGGCTATACCACATTTTGTTTATCTGTTCATCAGTGGACATTTAGGTTTCTAATTTTGGGCTGTTATGAAAAATGCTGCTGTGAAAATTCATATACAAGGTTTTGTGTAGATTTATGTTTTCATTTCTCTTGGGTATATACCTCGGGTCATATGGTTGCCTATGTTTAATGTTTTGAGGAACTGCTAGGCTGTTTTCACGGTGTCTGTACCATCATACATTTTTACCAGTACAGTAGGAGATTTCCCGTGTCTCCATATTCTTAGGAACACTTTGCATTATCTGTCTTTTTGATTACAGCCATCCAAGTAGGGGTAAAGTTCAATTTTTGTATCAGTTTTTGTATGATATACCTTTTTCCATTTTTTACTTTTAACCTGCCTGTATTATTATATTTGAAGTGAATTTCTTGTGGTTAGCATACAGTTGGGTCATGTTTTTATCCATTCTTACAATCTCCACCTTTTAATTGGTGCATTTTGAACATTTACATTCAATGTAACTATAAATAGGTTGATTTAGGTTTATTTACCATTTTATTATTTACTTTCTCTTTATTAGCTCAGTTTTTTATTCCTTTTCTCCTTTCTTGCTTCTTTTATTTGAACATTTTTATTATTCCATTTTAGACATATCTATTTCTATATATGTATTTTTATAGCTTTTTTAGTGATTGCTGTAAAGATTTGAGTATATCTACGTATGGCTTTTTTATTGTTTGCTGTGCAGATTACAATAAACATTCTTTTCACAGTCTACTTAGAAGCAATGCTTTACTGTTTCAAGTGGAATGTAGAAAACCTTACCACGTGTGGGTTTTTTTATCTTCCCCACTTTATATTGCAGTTATCTGAAATATTACCTTTCTGGACATTGAAAATCTATCTGGATAATGCTATAATTTTTCCTTTTAAGCATTAAACATATTTTAAAGAACTCAGGAGGAAAATAATAGTTAATTGTATTTACGCAGATGTTTACTTTTGCTGCTCTTCCTTCCTCCCTTATCTTTTAAGCTTGTTTGTTTTGGTATTATTTCTGTTCTGTGTAAATAACTTTCTTTAGGAATTATTTTTGAGAGGTTTTCTTGGCAATAAATTTTCTTAGTATTTCTTCATCTGACAATGTCTTTATTTCGCCTTTATTCCTAGGAGGTGTTTTTGCAGAGCATAGAGTTCTTAACTGTTCTTTTCTTTCAGTACTTTAAATATGTTATATCACTTCTTTCTGACATCCATGATTTCTGATAAGAAATCTGCAGTCATTTGAACTGTTGTGTTTCTATAGGTAATGCACCATTTTTCTGAATGCTTTCAAGATTTTTCCTGTGTCTTAGTTTTTAGCAATTTGCTTATGATGTACTGCTGCTTAAATTTCCATGTGCTTATCCTGTTTGGGGTTCACCGAGCTTTTCGAATCTGAGAACTCATGTCTTTTGTCAAATTTAGGATATTTTAAAACTTCGTTTCTTTAAAAATATTTTCTGTGCCACACTCTTCTTTCTTTTCGGTAGTCTTAAGTATCAGTGTTAGACCTTTTTGTATTCCATAGGTCCCAGAGGCTCTGTTCATTTTTTCCTATTTTCCTTTTTGTTGTTCAGGTTTGATAGTTTCTACCGATATGTCTTCAAGTTCACAGACTTTTCTTAGGTCATTTTCATTCTGCTATTGAATCCATATATTGGTCAATAATCTCTTAAGGCTCTTTTAAGTTCTCTCACATATTTTCTTTATTTACCTTTGTGATTTATTTGTGGTAGAAGGCAGTATATTAGTCCTAAATTAGGTCATCTAACCTCTATAGTATCATTTAACATGTTTTCCTTGTATTTTCTGTAGGTTGGAAGTTAGATCTAGAATAAGGGTCAGTAAACTACAGTTTGTGAGTCAAATCTGGGTTTCCCCTGTTTTTATAAATATTTATTGGCATACAGCCACACACATTTACATAATACCTGTGGCTGCGTATGTGCCGCAGTGGCAGAACTGAGTAGTTATGACAGGGACTCTAGGGCTGCAAAGCCTAAAATATTTATGCTGTTTTTTTTTTTAAAGAAAATGAGTGCTCTGATCGTGAGTTTTATTAGATTTTTTTTAAACAAGTATACTTAATAAGTGGAGGTATATATTTGACTATGTGGCACACAACGAAAGGTTGTCCATCTTTTTTTTAATGACCATTGCTTGTAGTGAGTACTTTTTCAGTGATCATCCACATTTTTGATGCATAAATATGTATTTTTTTGCCGGGTATATAATTTCAGATTGGACTTTTTCTTTCACTGTCCTTGGCTTTCATTCTTTATGACTCACGGCTAGTTGTCAGTCATATTGTTGGTCTTTCGTAGGTAATTTCTCACCCTGTATTCCCCACTCTTCATTCCTACTCCCTGGATGCTTTTGAGATTTTTCTGGGTTTGATTTCATCAGATCTATTATACTTTACTGGTTTTGTTTCTTTCATGCCTTAGCCCTACAGTACTTCTCGAATCTATGTTGGGGTCCTATATTGGTACTAGAAAATTCTAGCATTATACAATTTTCTCTTCTGCCCCATTCTCATTTTCTCTTCTAAGATTCCTGTTATATGTGTTAGATATTATACTTTGTGCTGTATTATGTCTTTTATGTTTTTACTGTTTTTGATTTTCTATCTTTTCATCATTCTGTGCTTAACAGAGTTATTTTCTTCTGACCTTTCTTCCAATTTACTCTTTTTTATTTCTATGTCTAATCTGTTATCAAGTCCACCTTTCACTTTCTTTAATTATTGCATTTTTCATTTATGTTATTTGTTTGGGTCTTTGTTATAGTTTTCAATTCTCTGCCAAATCCTCCAAATTGTTATTCATTTCAGTTGTTTTAAAAATCTGTTTATCATTGTTTGGATCTTCTGTGGGTCTTTTTCTAATTTCAGGTTTTCCCCTTAATTTTTTGGTTATTTATTGTTTCCTTGAATGTCTTTTTATTTTTCACTGAGTGCCAGAAATTAAACATGAAAAATATTGGGAGATATTTTGAGGCTTTGGATGATTGTTCTATAAACCTAAAATATCCACATATGATTTTTATAAGTTCTATTAGAAGAATAAACATGGGAGAAGAGAGAATTGGTAAGAGTCAATTAATAGAATCATCCTGTGTTCTAGGTCTGATAGAGAAGGAATTAAGGGGAAAAGGTGAAGAAAATGAAGACCTTAGAGTGTATGGAAACAGCTTGGAAGAGTAGGAAGTTGGCATCAAAGAAGAGATATTAGACCTTAAGATTACAGATAATCAAAGGGAACAAAATGCTTTATGGAAATAATTGATATGTTACTTGACTTTAGATTAGGAGTCAGTCACAGGGCTGAAAAGTCTGGGTAAGTCTTGATGGAGTCGGAGTAGGTTAAATTTTGAAGGAAGTAATCATTAGGTACATCGTAAAGAGCAGGAAGAGAATTTCAGGCTATGCTGTGCGTTGCAGCTTCTTTTCTTCTTTAGACTTCCTTTGAGATTACCTTGAGCCTGATTCATCTGAGATGTACAGCATAGTTAGGGGTCAGGGTGAAGAACAGAAGCCATCGTGCTTTGCCACGGGGACCGCACACCCTTACGTTCCCATGACTAGTGAATGGCTGGGACTGCAGCTTCAGTCTCAAAGCTCTTAAGTCCAGTGAGCTTCCTTTAACCCTTTAGGGGCATTAATACCTGCTTAACCTACCTCACAGGTTTTATTTTTAAATATCTCTTGGAATGTATGAAATTACTTCAAAAACAAAAATACTTAGCATATGTAAGGAGATTGATAATCATATGGCTGTTGGAGAGTTGCATCCTTAATTATTGAAGGAAAAATGTTAAATCAGGAACTTATTACATATACATTTAATTTATTCATATAACTTAATTGTGTTAAGTAAAATTTATTACAGATTTTTGTGTGAATTAGCATATCAACATCAGCAGTTAATACTACATTTTTCTGCTTGAGGGCAGAAATATTATGCATACAAGTATTCTCATTATCTTTGAGAAAATGAATTTCCTTTTGAAAAAGAAATCAAATATTATAAAAGCAGTGAATTGTCACATTATATAAATTTAAACTTTTAGTTTCTATTGTGATTCTGCAATAAAATTTAAGGTTGTGATTATTGGATGGTATATGTTACTTGATCTATTAAAAAAAAATGAAACAGCCCCAGTCCTAAAGGGATATTTTATTTCATAGGCAAAACAGTATATTAAAACTTTTTAAAACTAAAATATAAAATTCTCTGTCTCTAGGCAAAATTTGGTTTTTCTAATATTACTGGAATCGATTACTCTCCTTCTGCAATACAGCTTTCTGGAAGTATTATAGAGAAAGAAGGTTTATCTAACATTAAATTGAAGGTAACTTATTTACATTACTATAACACTTTTATTTCTAATATAAGTTATAAAGTTTAAATGTTTCTAAAGTATATATTAATTTGCTGACATCATCTGAACTCATACAAACTAAGGATCAATCATAAGTAATCCAAAATGAAACATTTTTAGGTAGCTATTAAAATTTTGTGTCTTGTCAGCTTGGAGAAGTTATTTTTTTTTCTTAGGCTTGTGTAAGTGTGTTCATTTCCTCCACCTGCCTCTGGTGATGCAGACAGATACAAATAATAGCTAACTTTGGGTTAACTAGATCAAAAAGTCGTAAATGCCTGAAGTGATAATACCACAAATAATAACTAACTTTGGGTTAACTAAATCAAAAAGTTGTAAATGCCTAAAGTGATAAATTAGTTTATTTTTGTGATCTGTGAGGAGATGATGTCTCTTGCATTTATATTTCTAGCTTAGGCTTCTCCTCCTCTAGATTTATATAAAAACTATATTTTATATAGTTTTTATATTCTGCAGTTCCCCTTAGATAGCTGATAGTCTCTCAATCCAAAATGAAACTCCCGGTTTCCTCCTTAAACCCTCATCTCCCACCTACTCCCCATGTCTATTAATGAGATCACCATTCATTCACCAGTGACATTCACCCAAACCCAAGAAGTCATCCTTGATCCTTCTCTTTCCTTTAAATCTTATATCCATTTGTGTTGGTTTTATTTTGAAAGCATAGGAGGAACATGATCATTCCTTGATATCACTACTACCTCCCAAGTCCAAGCCACCACCCTTTCCTGCCTAGACAACTGCAGTAGCCTCTTACTTGGCCTCCCATTCCCACTCTTGCCACTCCCACGTCCATTACCACAGGGCAGTCAGACTTCTCTCTTTTAAAATGTGAATCAGCTCCTGGGACTTCCTTGCTCACCTGCCTCCAAGGGCTTCCGCACTGCATCCAGAGTGGAATCTGAACCCACCCAGCCTTACGGAGCCCTCGTTGCTTTCCTCTCGCCCTCTCTGTCACGAACGCTGCAGTTACACGGCTTGCTTTCTGTCCCTGACACACGTCAAGCCTGTTGTTCTCCAGTCTCTGTGCTGTTCTCAGCATGGAGTAGTCAGTCTCGCCTCAGATCTTAGCCTGTTTGGCCATCCTCATCTGTCAGATCTCTGCTCAGACGTTACCGTCGTAGGCCTTTTCTGACTACCTTTTCTAAGACTTTTCTCTTCCCAGTCACTGTCTTCATTATTCTGTTTTTGTTTTCTTCATAGCACTTTATCTGAGATTATTTGTTTAGCTGATTTATTATTTGCTTCTCCCTTTAGAGAATACACGATACAACTGTTATATTGCGGTTATATTATTGGAGCCTGAAAAGTCCCTGCATATAATAGGTGTCTACAAAATATTTGTTGAATAAATGTGTACTTCACACAGGCTTTTAGGATAGGAACTCTTCCAAACTATGCTCTTGAGAGCGGTAGGCATGATTTACTTCCGGTGTGATGAGTACTAGGGTGTGGGGAAGGAGGAAACACACGTTCCAGTGGATGTGAATGTAAGAGCCACCTCGATGAGAGATTTTCAGATAATACACTGTTTACGGTTACTTTATTAAGTTTATGTGAATAATCATCAGCTAATTGTGTACTTTCTCAGGGTAGCGTTTCAGAATTAATATTATTGGCAAATTATTTTGAATATTTTATGAAATTGAGGCAGCGAACTATTTCAGATTGTTATAATGTTATCAGTAGGTTATTGAAAATGAATGAAAAAAGAAAAATGAATGAGATGCTGATGTATGACTTTCTAAATTCTAAAGTGAATGATATTTATAAAGTTAAGTAATTGCAGTGTAAACAGTCTTTGATTTCTCATTCATTACATCAGTCGCTTTGTAAGCTGCTGAGTCAATGCAAAAGAACTGTTATCCGCCTCATTTATTCAGATCACACAACGAGTAATGTCAGGTGAGAATCATCTAATTTCCAGTGACCCGTTTGAGTTCCAGATAATTTTTGCCGTTTTTAAGAATAGATCAAATACTCTGCTTTTTGACAGAAAGAACTTTTCCATAAGCCAGGCCTGTGAGCTCTGTTACGTGCCGGTATTGTTAGGCAGCACACCTGGCTTTGATTTGTTTCCTAATTTGTAGAGATTTGGAATGTCCAGGAAACTCTGTCAGTCTTACTAATCTTAGCTTTAATGATCTTGGAATGAAGCACATAAAATTAGCTATAAAGTTGAAAATATGTTTATTACATGTAAAATGCCATCGTAATGAATGGCTCCTTTTATCTATAACTTTTTACAGATTGTCGCTTAAATTCAGTAAAGATCGTGTGTTAATTGTTCTCACATAGACATTGATTTTTAATATAGGTAGAAGACTTTTTGAATCTTTCCACAAAGCTGTCTGGATTTCATGTTTGCATTGACAAAGGGACATTTGATGCCATAAGCCTTAATCCTGACGGGGCAGCTGAGAAGAGGAAGCAGTATGTGAAATCTCTCTCCAGGGTGTTGAATGTGAAAGGCTTTTTTCTAATAACCTCATGTAATTGGACCAAGGAGGAGTTGCTAGATGAATTCAGTGAAGGTAACTGGCTATATGTTGTTTAAATGTGCACCTACCTCAGGTTTAATGCACTTAAGTAGGTATTTTTTTCTTGGTGTTGTGTAGCGTTTTACTTTCCTGTTTGTAGGAATTGTCTGCTTTTCATCTCTATTAATATCCTTTGTAATACTTTTTACTGTATATGCAAAGCTCAAAGAAATAATATTGGTTGAGATCCAAATTCCTTTTTAAAAATTTCCAAGAAATCCTGGCAGTTAAGTACTAAAATTTATGAGTCTATAAAAATTAAGTTCATTTAAACTGTATAATCTATTAGAGAATCAAACAAAGAAAATGCATATATTGTGCTTTTGACTTTAGTGCACAGTATATACTAGTAATCAGTAATAGTAGTAACCAGTAATAATGCAAATGTGGAAGTAGTATTTTTTAAAGTCTTATAGGATGAGAATTTTAATTTTTTTCCCCCTCTTTAATCCCTTCCTACTTCCACCCATGACCTATGGATCTTGCTGTCTCTCTTTTTTTTAAGAGCTGGATCTCTGAAGGCGGGGCGTCTCCCGCCTCCCCACACTTGCGGCATGCATCCGGCGCACTCGGGGCCTGGCGCACCCGGGGCCTGGCCCGTGGCTCCACCTGGGGCACGAACCCAGGACCTTCTGCGTGTAAAGCAGACATGCTAACCGCTACGCTATGGAGCCGCTCCCGAGAATTTTAATTTTATAGATACTTCATCTTGCTAGTGGTCATTTAGATATTTAGGATTTGTCTTTTCAGTGTATATGGAACGATTCACTGCACAAAAACAAAATGTAGGGGCTCGATAATAGAAATTCTATTCTTGAGGAAATCTCTACCTTTTTCAAGATTTTTGGTGCCAAGACAGGATCCTCTTCTGTGCCATGAGTAAAATATAATAGGTGCTGTGTCTACACAGTGAGGAATTTGTGAGAATTGAGAATCGATAATCTGTACACACATAGTTTGAGTTCTTTGCCATACTGTTCCTCGCATGTTTTAAGAAACATTCTACCTGCCAGTTTATTTGTGCAGTGCACAGGCATTTCTAGGAAAGCATTTTGAGAATTTATAACTAGATATTTGCTTGTTTTTTCCTTAGAATCCTTTTCAGATTAGGATTAAGTTATTTAAAGGACTGAGAGGAATTTTCAGGGTGGAGTATTGATAAATGATATGGTACTAAATTTGTGGTTAAATTTTGAACTTCACTTGTCGCAAGCTAATGGGAAATGAATTTATAACCATACTGCATATATTTTATCTTAGTTTGTTTTTTTGCTGGTAATAAGGGACCAGGCAGTAGGAGGGAGAACCCTTAACACACGCCCTTTTGTGTGCATGCAGTGGCTTTGGTAGGTTACAGAATGTAAAACCTGAAGAGTTTGAGGCTTGAAATGGGAGCCTGGGGCTTCATTACTGTTGCCTCTGGAAAACTGGAATTATATGTGATTTATTGTCTTTTATTTCATGCCATTAATTTTATTATCTTCCATGTTAAATTTGTTTCCTTTAGAACTGTCGAGGCCCCATGTCAATAGTCTTTCCTTCTTCCTGAAGCTTGACACTTTTAATAAATGCTCAGAGTTGCACTGCATAGAGCAAGTTCCTTTCCTGGTTTTTAAATACAGGTGTTCTCTCTTACTCCTGGAACCACCAGACAAAAACATATTTGTCTGTCTTTGATAATGAAGAACAGACTTTAGCCTGGTAAAGAGTGCTTAAAAATGTGTCTGTGTCTGAGAACTACTGAGTAAATTCTTTGACTCATGTTCAGTTTTAGAGCTTAAAACAATTTAAATAAGTGAAAAGTTACGGCAAGGAATGGTAAAGAAATAATTCCATATACTAGGATACTTTGAGGCATGCCTCTCTTAGAGTGGTTTTTGGAGTTAGGCACAGGACGCTGACAGAGTACACTGCCACGCATCCCTGCTAAGGGTCTTGTCACTATCGTCTCAAGATTGGCTTCCATGGTCTCTTTTGCATAGAATAAAGCTCACTTCACCAATCTGTTAAGGTTCGTTGCTTCTTTCCTTGTTTGAAACATAAGTGTTCATGAAACTGTTGAAATGAAGCTTGCACTTTTCCTTTATAGCCCCTTCTGTATAAACATTTTGTGTTGTCATATGTTTTGGTGAGGATTACTTGAAACATTTGCCAGATATTAGGGTGTTCTCATTTGATGTCCAAGGAACTTGACTTTCTTACAACTACTGAATTAAACTGCCAAATCCTATTTTACTGCAAAAGTAATCCAGATTCATTATGAAAAATATTGAAAAATGTCTACCCCAACACATAAGCATAGAGATTAAAATAATTAAAATCATTTGTTATCTTATCTCTGGAATACAACCATTTTTAATATTTTAGTGTATTATCTGTTGAAATATAATAATTTCAGTTCTGTAGAGGTAGTCCAGGGAGTTAAAAAATTAGTAGTAGAAAATTCACAGTTTCATTTTCTCTTGAAAATTTTTGTGATGACATATTTTAAGCATAAGTAAAATTTCAGAAACAAATATGGGTGTTGTACCCATGTACCCACCACAATGGCTCCATTTTTCAGGTTAAAATATATTGTGTTATTAAAAGACCTGTCCTTTGGAAAACTTTTCTATGATCAGTTTTTAATGAACAGTTAGCATTTAGTTATTTGTTAAGATTTAGTGGTTTGATTAAGAATATGAATTAGAATGTATAATGAAAGTATGAAAGACCAAGTGATGAAATAATACATATCCCTTTTAACAGTTTTTTCTGTTTACAAGAGTTATTTGAGCCTCAAGCTCAAAGCATAGAAACTTAGAAAATGTAGACACCCCCTAAAGGAAAAAAAATTCCCAAACTAAAAGTCCATTACTGTGGGAAACATGGTTAATAACGGTGACCTTCTAGCCTTATCTTATTTTTTAAAACAAAGTAATAAAACATTACATTTCCATTTTATTTTATAGTTTAGGAAAAACTATCTCATTTTGATCTTTACAGAATCGCTGTAAGTTAGATGGGGCATTGGTATCTGTAACATCCTTGTGTAGGAACTGAGGATCCTGGTTAAGGTCACGACTGGCATATCTTTCACCTAGTAAGTGGTAGAGCTGGGACTTGAACCCAGGACTTTCGAATACAAATTATTTATTTATTTTTAAACCACACTATTTTACTTTGAAGGTTACTAGTTCCTTGTCTTCCCAGATCCTTCATTAGTTCAGTTTGAGTTTTGCTCTTTGGTTACAAATTCTTTTATTGCGGTAAAATATACATACCATCAAATTTTCCATCTAACCATTTTTTAGTGCACAGTTCTGTGGCTTTAAGTACATTCACATTGTTGTGCAACCGTCACCACCAGCCATCTCCAGAACTTTTCATTTTACAGATTTATTGTTACTTCCGCGTTATTAACCTTTCTGTATTAAGTGCTTTCGTATGTGATGGGGTCAGCGGCGTTGCTGCATACAAAGCCCTCAGCAGTGCCTGGTACCTGGTGGGAATATGATGGCCGCTTCCCACCAACGAGCTGGTGGAGGAGGCCCAAGGAGGTGCAGGGGTGCAGAGGTGGTAAACGGGGCGGGGAGGAAACGGGGCATGGATGGAAAGAAGGCCTCTTTTCTGCAGTTCGTTTTTGGTCTTGTCTGTTTCTTGTTCAGTTCACAGTGTTTTGGGGTGCACACATTATGTGCAAGTACAGTAGAATTGAAAAATAGAATTCAGTCACAAATCAGAGTTTGGAATCACATAGTTTTATAAAGGGTTCAAAAGTATATTGTTAATACAACGTCTCTTAACAGTGAGATCTAATCTCTAATAAGAGTATTTTAATTTTGTCTGACAGGATTTGAACTTCTCGAAGAGCTGCCAACACCCACATTCAGCTTCGGAGGTGGATCCGGGAGCAGTGTGGCGGCGTTGGTTTTCCAGAAAACGTGAGGCTTCTCCTTGGACACATTCAGTTAGCTTTTTAAAGCAGCTCTACATCAAAGTGCACCTGACACAGAAAATGCAAGTGCAAATAGATGCTTAGTAAGTACACAGAAAGCACGTGTTGAGACAAAGGGCTGGTAAAAAAGGTCACGAGCATGTAAGTGGTGGGGTTCTAGAGATCAACCAGGAGTAATTTAAATTTTCTTTTGTATTTGAAATGTAAATATTTTTCTTTTTGGTTAAAAAATTTCCTGTAACTGCTGAACAGTGGAAAACTTTAAAGCAGTAAATGAATTTACAGAAAGCATGTATTCCTCATTTTTATGCCTTGGTAAAATTGAATTGGATATAGCTCTTTATTAAGATTTGACCAAACTATCCCAGGGTCAGAATAATAAGCAAAATGACTTTCTTAGTGTTTTATTAGAGCATTTATGAAACATAATAAGCATGCTATTTTTGGTTCAGTGGTGGTTATTTTAAAAAAATTATTTAATATGTGAGAAAATCCTCCAACCTTGTAAATAATTAAACAGAATCAGATAAATATATCAGTCGACAAATAATTGAGCTTGTATTTTGTGGCTGATGGCAGTTTACACACCATGAGGATAAAGTAGAAAGAAAGACAACTGAGAGGTACTGTTAACGTTAGTGTTATGTCCAGTGACACTGTCTTACTGATCCTCCCAGTACCCTCTCCAGGTATGCATGGCTTACTCCTGTTTTTGCGTATCGAACAGCTAGGACAGGATGAAACCAGGATTTTTCTCTGGGTCTGACTCTAAAGCCCATTCTCTTCCCCTAGATAATCTGCCTCCCAGATGCTGAGTGTGCATTTATGGCTTTTATAGTTCAATCAGAACTACAACTGGCATTTAGGAAATCCTGGTAGAGGAGTGGGGCAGTCGTTAGGAGCACTGCAGCCCCTTGCGATGGTGTCGATCTGAGGACTGTGAGGACAGTGGGCCACCCTGCGTTCTTTCACCATCTCCCTGCTTGTCTTAGAAGACTTGTCCACTCCGGAACTGAATTGTGTCATTCTTCTGTGAAAGGGTGGTATAAGTTATATCTATATCTACACCCCTATATATCTGTGTGAGCCCCAAGGGATATGGGGACCAAGATGTTCTAGTTAGGAGCTAATTAGTAAGAGAAACAGTTTTTTAATGTTTTTGAAAAGATAAGGTATATTAATATTTAATGCTGTTTTGTATTTGGGGTAATATTTTAATGCTGGAGTCACAGTATGAGTTTTTAAAAAAGTGATATATTTTTTGATGATTTTTAACTTTTAGGCCTGTTGGGTTACTGAATGAACAGAATTTCCGTTTGACAAATGTACTCAAATGATAAGTGTGGCATGGCATGCTTTTATTTTCATTTTTGCCCCATAGTGGAGGCAGGGAGAGTGATTCAATTTAGATCAACATTAATCAGCCATTAAGATTACTGCCTGCCTTGCACAAAATAATTGAAGACATTTATATAAACTTTCAACACAGGTAACATTTTAGAAAAGCTTTAATTTTTAACATGTAAAAAGTGAGAAAGTAAAAAATATGTGATTAAACTTTTTAAAATATTGTGTCAACTTTACAAACTAGACATGGAATCTTACATTATGGAAACATAAATGGTTTTCTGATTTATCGAGATCTGGTCTTTGTTGTTTTCCACAGAACTCTTCCTTGAATTCGAATATGATACTGGTGTGTGGGTGCTCTTTTGGATCGCGAGTTGTTAGGCATGTGCTGTGTTAAAGCACCAGGCTAACAGACTGAGACATTGGGTTCGATTCACTGATAGCTTGGAATCGGCTTTGTCGAGACCCTCCTTGGGTCACCAACTGTCACCTGGGTATGTTCAGTTTGTAAAGATGAAGGATTTTTTTTTTTTTTTAAGAAATCCTGGAGCTGTTGATAAGGTCAGGAAAAGGGAGTTGTCATCTCTTATCAGTTTAATCCTGCTGGAAGCCTGCCTTTTGGAGGTTGAAATCAGAACAAATGGAAGGTCCATAAATGCTAACAATAAATTAGTATATTCAAATAATACTCTGCTTTAAAAACCAGGCCAGTAAATGCCCCAAGTCACTGAAGCAAGTCAACAAACTTAGTTTTGTTAAATCACAGGAATATGTGGTTAACTGTGAAAGAGATTACAGTTATAAAAGAGCAGCAGGTTATGTAGTGAGCGCTGTTTTTCTCTGGATAAGAAGTTGGGAATGTAATTTTATTTCACCAAAAGACACTTATTTTGAGGAAACTTGTTTGAAATGCAAACGAGATTTCTCTTTGGAGCCTGCACAGAATTGTTGCTTTTCATTATGATATTACTGCATAGCAGGCCACTTCTGTTGGTAGGAAGTATGTATGCAAGTCCAAAGGGATTTGAGGCCTGAATGGGCGGTTACACCAATTAACAAACAAAGTTTTCCGAACATTTTGTTTTAAGCCAGGTGCACAAGTTAGAGTTGCTTTTTGGGACTGGCATTTATGCATATGAGAATCAAACCTGACACTACTCTTGGCAGCTTGACCAAAGCCATTTTAAAATAAGCACAAACTGTCCTTTAATGATTTTTCTCCCATTGTAGTAGCAGGGAGTTTGCCTTTCTTCTTCAGCTGTGATATGCGTGCAGTTTCCCATTTATTTGGTGGGGGAGGGAAGGGAGGTAAATGTATACAAAAGATTTTTAGTCTTTATATGAATAGTGTGTTTCAATTCACTTATTTTTAAATTTCTGTGGTACTGTAATGCAGTACTGTATGTCGACCTTAATTCATATTCATCCAGAGTATAATAAAAACCATAATTTTTAAGGAATCTATATTAGTAATTAAGTTTTATATGGCTTTGAAATAATTTTCCTCAAATTAACATGCAAAGAAGTCGAGTATCCCTGCTTATGTTAATGGACTTTGATTCATGTTCTCTTAAATAATTTTATTTTATATATTTATGTTTGTGTGCATGTGTCTGGTAGCCTGCAAAGAAAAAATGCACAAATATGAAAAGTCAGTTGTTCTCCAGGCCAGCCTCCTACTGCTGCAGGGAGACCTGGGTTTGATTTCCTGTGTCAGGCACTGTGAGCTAGAGAGTGTGCGCTCCAGAGACAGCTTTCTGTGAGAGCAAGAGGCCAAGTGTCGTGTGTCCCACTGTAGTGACCTCTTCAGCTAATTGTGTGCGGGGGTCGTTGATGGGCTCTGAAAGGCGTCTTGTCTGGGACACTTCACTGGAAGGAGGCTGCCCGTTACCTAGGGCTTGACTGTGGGAGACGAGGAGCATGGCAGATGGAAGGACAATTGCATAGTGGGAAAAAATTAGGAAACTTGTCATTTCTCTCGGTTAGGCAGGAAACAGAGATGTCCTTAGAAGAAGGGGAGCACACGAGCATGTTTTATTAACAGTTAATTCAAGAAAATTAATGCTAATTTATTCTTCATACACACCATGCAATTTGTTAGAAAAGTAAAAGAATAGTTTGAAATTCTTTGGTCGATTGATGGATTCCTATGTTAGGGGCATAGAAATGAAACTCAACGTTAAGCAGACAAATACCCAAGCCCACAGGCTACATAAATGCTGAATAAAATCAGCTCTGCAATGGGACTCTGAAAAGCGAGGGGTAAGAAGCCTAATGAATGATTGAATATGACCTTAGCAAATCCCCTGGAGTGTTGTTGAAAGATCATTCATTTCCAGCTTAGATGTCAAGATGGGCTCCAGTAACCAGGAAAAAAGAGCTTGAGTTGGTACTTACTGAGTTTTCAAAATCTTTACAACACAGCACGTTAGACTGACTAGTCGTTGAAAGGGCTTCTCTGACCCAATCTGGAGCTGTCACTGTGTGGCCCTGTAGTTAGGCCCAGGAAAACCAAATTAAAACGATAGGATTAATTCCCAAGACATGAATATATCACTATCCTGATTTTGTGGAGAACTTCAAAAACTAGGCTGTAGAGGCTGCGGAGGGCACAGTCTCATGCCCATACTGCCTCAAGGAGGACACCCAAGCGATCCATTGGGCCTTGAAATATTCGCAGATTTCTTGCCTAGTTCATTAGAGGAAGATGTAAAAAACCAAAATTGACTTTTTTCATTTTTCACATGGCCCATTCTGAAGAAATGATAAATTCTTCTGTTTATTTTTAAATACGTATTTCTATTTTTAAACATGTATTGTTAGTACTGCATCAGGAAATGATAAGTATGTTACCGAGTGATCTTTATTGTGCATGCTAGCTGGCGAAGAGCTTTTTAAGAAAAGCTAGTGTAATACATTTGTTTTCCCAAATACCTGAAAATTTACACGTGAAACCAGCAGTCAGCATATCCTGGATATAATCTGAGGAGCTTAGAAAGAAATATGAAAGTACTCTGGTTGCATAAGGGGACCCTGAACTGTGTTTCTCATTCTTCATTAAGATACAGATGAAGCAGTTTATTATCATCTGTGATTGGGGCAGACAGAAGCGTCGCTGGGACTGGGAGGCTGGAGCTCCCCTGCCGCTCCAGGGATGGGGGAGCCGTCGGGAGGAGCAGGCTAAATGGGGAAGCGAGTGGGTGCTGCCGCTTCGCATTTTCCTCCTAACCCCTCCTCTAATATGAAAATGTCAGTCCTTTGTTCCCATCTAATTTTAGTACATCCTGGCTAAAAAAAAATGTTAGGATGTAAAACGTTGGGATGATTTCCAACCATGGGACTTGGAGGGGGGGCGGCGGGCGGGGGAGAGTGGAGGAAAGCGGTTTTTACATCCCGCGTCTGGCCTTCCTGCCTCAGCATCCAGCCCGACTCTGTTGACTTTGCTAATGAAATAAATTTAGATGCACTGAAGCAGCAATAATTAGGTTTTCCTCCCATGTCCTCAACAAGAAGCCTAGTTGGAATCTGAATGGGCAAAATCATAATATGGTATTTAATAAAATAAACTGGGCTGAATTAAAGAGCTGTATGCAAGTTTCGGAAGAAAGGCCTGACACTGGGAGTGAAAACTACGTGCTGTGTTATTTGTTAGTGGAACCTTTGAGGTCTATTTGTGATTCAGTGAAACTGCTTTTACTTTGAAACTCCTGTTGTTTTGAATGAGAATAGTATTTGCTGATTTTTGAGAAGCAGTCAAAAGCAAGGCACACAAGTCAGTTTATTCTGTCTGGAAATAACAAGTCGGGAAGGAAAGCTCCGATTCCATCAAGAGAGCCAGTCAGGTCAAACCATTGAAAATATAATTTCTATGAGAGATAGGACAGAATTTTCCATAGGGCTTTGTAGATGGAAGTGCCAATCGTTGTGGTTATTATTTTAATTAAAAAATAATTAACTGGATTAAACTGTGAGGGGAATTCCGTATACTGGACCTCATTGCGAAATAAGCCTGCCTTCTCCAATGAAGGTTCGTTCATTTAGTGAGCTGAAGCTTCCTCTGGTTCTGCCTGGGTGATAGACTTAATCTATCCAGAAGTAAGATTGTGTTGCTATGAAGTCCATTTGCTTAACGATTTAATTTTCAGCAAATACCATATCAGATTGTTTTCTCAACATGAAGTTTATTTTGGTTCTTTTTATTTTATAGTAAGAGATAATTTGTATTTAAAATCTGTTAAGTAATAGAATAAATATCAAAGAGAAATTGTATTTTTTACATACTAAATTTTGGAGAAAAAGGTGACTGGAACCTGGGCAAGTCACTTTCCTTTTCTGGCTTTAGTTTTTTGCTCTAAAACAAGGGTATTCAGTAGGTGGAACAGTATATGTACTGCTGCAGTGGGCGCAGTGGGTGATAGTTGAAGTTCTTCTCTACTCGTAAATTAGTCAGCTTGGGCTGTCGTAGACTGGGTGGCTTAAATTATAGAAATTTATTCTTTAAAGTCTGGAGATTAAGGTGCCAGCAAGGTAGGTTCCATTCCGTGGCCTCTTGCCTTGGCTCGTGGGTAGCTGCCATCTCTGTGTTCACATGACCCCTTCGTGCGAGTCTGCAGAGAGAGTGAGCACTCCGGCAGGCCTCTCCGGTGTCCCTCCCTATATGGGCACGAATCCCATCGTGAGGAACCCACCCTCGCCGTCCCACCTAACCCCGACCTCCTCCCAAAGCCCTGTCTTCACACACTACCACATTGGGGCTTAGGGCTTGAACATACGAATTTTGAGGAGACACATTCAGTCCATAATAACCGCTGAAACTGATCTGAGGTTTAGAGAAAGGTCTACAAAATAGGTTTCCTTTATATCTGGGGAGTATAAATACTCCATTAGCTAAATATCAGTTGTTAGGTCACTTCATGGTTCTTTTAAACCAAGGTATCTATGTATATGAAAAAATAGATGTACATATAATAAAACACTTGGAACAATCACGTGAGTATTTTTCAATCTAAAAATGTCATGCATTCATTGGTAAACTTTAGATTTGAGTATTGATTGATATATATTTGATAATTCAGTTGGTATTATTTGACTATAGAGATGTTTTATCCAAGAAACTCAGAAAAATACATGTAATTGTTAAGTCACCTTCTATTTTATGTTTAGAAAGATTGAGATCAACGTTGGGCCTAAGCAAAATTGTGATAATCTGAAGGATCTCCCTAAGTTAATTCTTCCCCACACACAACACAGACTGCACACTCACAGGTGACCTGATTTACCACGCTAACGTCCCAGTGCTTAGAGACTTTTTACCTTCTCAAGTCACATAGAGACCCATAGAGTATAGTTCCTGGGTCTGCCCCTCTTGAGCCTTGTCCCTCTCCGTCCTATCCTGAGGAGATAAGTGAAGTTAAGTATAGTAAAAGTGCTAGCAAAGTGCCTAATGCGTAGTAGATACTTATTTAAACTTGCTTTCTCTTCAGTACTTTGATTTGAAGCGGTTCGATATCATGGAGATAGAAGCAATTGTGTAGACTCTGTGTAATAGGGTGAATATTAAATGAGAAAAATAAATGGAAAGCGGCTTTAGCAGGATACCTAGCACACACCAACGCCAAACAAATATTCTTTTCTCCGAGGACCCTTCTTCCCACTGGAGTTAATACATTGAATTGTTCAGGACTTTAATCCTCAGTGTCACGGAGTTAATGCATTTCGTTTCCTTGTAAGGCATGTATATTCCGGGAGGGATTAGATGAGTGAAGAGCGGAGTGCTGGATAAGTGAGTGAGAGGGGAAGTTTGGAATGGGGGGCCTTTCACAACCTCTTCAAAAAGTCGTCCCGTGGAGCTTCTTCCTTAGTCTCTAGATCGGACTGGTCATGAAGCACCTTTCTATTTAGGAAATGAACCAGAAATCACAATGCCAGATTTTCATGAATTGCCTTTATGCTGCATTTCAGCAGACTCTAAGATTCCCCACAAATCTAAGATCGTCGTCTGTTTGGTAATTATTTAGTAGTAAAGATAGATCTGATGGGGAAAATATTAAATGTGGGTGCGTTTGAACTGAAAACAAATGCCAAGGCTGTGGTCCACCTTTCTTCATTAAGTCTGAATGCCCAGGCATTTCCAGAGACATCTGACAAGGAAACTGAACGCAGGTCCCCTAAATGACTGGCGTCAGTTTAATGAAAGTTGTGGAGTTGGGTTTGGATCTTTTACCGATTTAGGAAGCTGGGGGCTAAGATTTTATCACTGATTTCCACCTTGTGTTATCTAGATTTGATTTCTTTGATCAGTGAGTCGTGTTTATTTTCCTTGCTCTAAGTTACGGTAACAATGTCATTCACAATGGCATTTTAAAATTTAACGTTGGGTAATACTTTACATAGTTTATCTGATTTGACCTTCATTTGTACTGGAACTGACAACTTAGTATGGAAAATACAGTGAATCAGT